GGATTCATATACGAATGGCGTGTGAGTGGAGTGTGTCATGCAAAATTTTGTCTACCAAAAATATTAGATTCACTGTATACGGTCATCTATATCTTTTAAACGACGCAAAATATTCGAATACTTTCTTCGGTAAAGTTGTAGCCCTTGAAGAGAAAAAAAAAAATTATCACCAAAGGAAGGGTCATTGACCTCTCCTTGGGAATAAAAATGACCCCAGAAGTAACCCATCATGACAATGACCAAAATGGGGTAGGAAATAGGAAATTTGAAAAAAAAAAACCACTGGGGATGTTTGCTGGTAAGGAATTGGATCGCGATCAAAATGTCACGAGTTATGCGATATTTTGCGACTTTGATGCGAAATTATTTGCAAGCGGCGCCTGAAAAAATTCACGAATTCGACCAACTCGCAAAGAATTCCGTAAGACAATTCATAAGAATTTGCGACTTTTTATTGAAATAGGTTAACATTAAAACTATGTTGGCTTTTCAGAATCCAATTTTTTAGACTTCGTATTCAAAGAACCAATTTATTTCCTGTTTTATTCCCATCGACTCACTCAAAATTGAATGAATAATTCTTTGAATTTATGTGAAAAGATTTTGCTATTTCGAGTCTGGTTCACTCTTTTGATCCAAGTTGGCGGATTTTCTGGTTGAAATATTCTCGATGGTACTTGTAATCAAACTTTGGATATGCTTAATGCTCATCAAAATGTTCTGTTTCAGTTTGGAGTGCAGCAGCAGCTTTTGTTCATGTTCATATTCAAAAGCGAAGAATACTATTATGAATTTATACTTTACACTGCAGCTGTTGCATTTTCATTGGCAAACCAAGCATTAAAAATAGCGTTTCAAATAAGTATAACTGAAATTCAATTACTTCGAAATCTGTTCAAGAATATACCGCTATATATAATTGAAAACACTCAATTAACGAATAATTTTTCCTTGGCCATTCATTCAAACTGATACCACATCTCCAATGTAATAAAATTATACAACAATTCAGGTTGAAAATTCCATAAATTTATATTCAACCACTTGGTTTTTATGTGTTTCATACAAACATTGCCATATAATGTTATAATATAATATATTTAATGCAATTTGATACTCATCAAATCATTTTACCTACATTAATTTTCACACGTAATTAATTAAATTCGCATAATTAAATTTCATGACACACACATGACTGCGCATTTGTAACACAATTTTTGAATACAAACTCATATTTTTGTATTCGCTTGAATAAAATAAATTGACATTAAAAATTTTTACATCATTAAATGATGTATTATAATATTATTATTTTCAAATAAATTACGCAATTTAATATGTACACATGGTTTCGATAGGAATGGATTATCAGAAGGCGGATTCAATTTTTGAATGTTATTAGTGCCAAAAAATTTATAATTAAATGAATTGAAAAGCATCTAGCGCGCTGTGTTTTTGTGATTTATAAAATTGGGAGCAAAATAGTTTTTTTTTTTTTACTTTGGTTGAAGGGCTGAGTAAAAAACAAACATTTTTGATGATATACTGACTTTTATTGAGATATAACTGCAGCACCATGGTGTTACAATAACGCGAGAGGAAACCTATATCGTACTCATAATATCAAACAACTACTATTATTTATTATGGTTTGCGGAACTTGACAATGTTGTATGTATTGACTTATAACAGGTTAGTTAAAAAAATGAAGTTCGCTGTACTCGCATTGTTCAACATAACAATTACTTCATTTTGCGACTGTTACTTATGCTTTTGCTTTCGTTTTTCATACATCATTTGTATGCAAGAAGCATTCCAATTAATCACGATTGAAATAACAACTCATATCTCGAATACTGAGTGTATTAAAGTTTTATCTTGTTGTTCGTTATATTTCTCGAATATTTTCTGAATAAGTTTACATAGAATCTTGAAGATTTTCTGTGTTATTAACATTTTTTACTGAATCTTTTTATTAAAATGTTTTCAATGCCTCAATTAAAAATGTGGAAATGAATTTCTTCCAAAATATGATTCTATTGTGTTTTGAGATCTCTCAAAAAAATTACGTGACTTGATCATGAAATAGTGCGTTCACCTAGTTTTTTAATACATTTGAAATACTTCAAGAGCAAACTTAGGAAGTATACGATCGCATGTTATTATTCGAGTGACACAATATGTGTCTTATTATGAATTCAATGTGTGCAATTTTTGTTTTTAATTCGAAATTTACTTTTTTCAATGAACATTTTGTGTTTTGGTTTTTAAGGTCAGTCAAAAGTTTAAACATTTATTAAATTCATATTACCTATTTATAGCTTAATCATCCCCGCAAAACGACCAACATTTTTGATGCCTCAAAGAGATCAGAGTAGAAAGGTTATATTTTCACTTCAGCTATTTTAGCGACAATTCAGTTTTCAATAATGAAATTCTTTGATAAATCCGTTTTAACAGTTGAATTCCTTCATTTTTATTTGAATTGAACATATTGAAATGCTGAGAATTAAGATGATTCATAGTTGGCTATGGTCTTCAAATGTATCACAGAATGGTTTCAGCGCTTCAGATAATTAAATGGCATTTAGTTTTTTGGATCAAAAGTGATATTTTGATTTTTTAGATTATGAAAGTGTATCATGCCAAAGTCCAAAACAATTCATGAATATTTATAAATGATTTGTCTTATCAATATTTTTATGTTAAATTTGCATATTATAGCAACTAAACTAGAATCATTCTTATTTTCTTATCTCCTTTTTTTAAATGCATTTTTCAAATGTTATTCAGAATTTATATCTGAATGAAAAACATACTCTCCTGTCGATATATTCAATACGTAGATATGTAAATTAAATTTACTAAATTTACAAAATAAAATATAAAGCGTCAACTATCCCCATGCGTCTCTTACGGAATATTAATAGCACAACAATTCACTCAATAAAGAAAACTATAAAGGCAATGGAATACAGACTGGCCGTAATTAGTTTCATTCAAACCGTCAAAGTGATCAAAAGAAGCAAGGATGAAAAGAATTGTGACACTATTTTTGAGTGCACTATTATGTGGTGCATTAGCAGAATATCAAGCTCAACAAGTGCTATCGTCTCGTCCAACTGCTGTAAACAAAAATTTCACAAATGAAAAGCCTCACAATAACGAAGGAGATTCAGTACCTGCCGAACAACCACTGACAAAAGTTGCAGAATTAGAAAGTTCTGAATCAACGACGACTTTTGTATCGAATACTTTCAACGGCACTGTCGAGTACATTCAAACTACCGATGAATTACAAGAAGTCGATCCAATTGAAAAACAACCATATATTTCAATTAAAGGTAATATGGATTTCTATATTTCACTGAGACATGTATATACCAATTAAAAATCGAATATGTAAACATTAATACGATTCATTCGAGAAATTGTTATTTACTCTATCTTATGAGATGATAGATTTTGCATAGTAGTAAACACAGTGCCCAGGTTAACAAAACATAATATTGAACAATTTTACAAAATAAATTTGAGATATGTACACTGCCGTTTAAAAGTTTGAGAAATATAATTATTTCCAGAATATTTACTCAAGTGTGACTTTTGTATGAAAATGAAAGCATGTATATTATAGCGATCAGCGCAAATAAATCTGCAAAGGACCTATAAATTACGTGCCAAAATTCAATTTATAAAATGTTTTGGATATAATTAATCGAATCCTTCAAAAACCGCCAATTTGCATGAAAATCTGATGGCCTTAAACTTTTGAACGGTAGTTTAGGTCAGAAACAGTAATGTGCGTCACGCTCTGCTCGCACTCCATTTAAAGCAATATATTGGGTTTCGAACACGCAGATGTGCTGCCACCTGGTATCTCAAAGTTAAGCTGCTATAAAGCATGTTCTTGCAAATGAAGAAGAAGAGGAAAGCAATGTCTTTACATAGGGTTGAACTTATAAATGTCAGAGAGCAGCACAACTGCAGTATTCAAAGTGCGATTGCCCTTCTATGTGCGTAATTTCATTTTCGAAATTAAGGAACACATAATGCCCTTTGATTTCTTTTCTTCCTTATCATTTGATTTGAAAAACGTGCCCAAAGACTGACGCCACTCTTATCACGAAAATTTATTTATAAACCGAACTTGTGGTAAACATCAGTTAATTTGGGTTCTACTCGTATTTTGTCATTGACTAGCTTACGTTCTCGAAATAAACTTTTCTATACTGTAGAGAAGATAACATTTCTACTGCTTACACTTCGGATTGTCACATACATTCAGATTACGAATTATGTTGTACAAAATAAGGACATTATGTTAAAAAAATAAAATAATTTATACAAATAATATGATTTCTTGGCTGCATCCCAAAAAAAAAACAAAGTTAAGAGAGATTTCATTCATTATTATCGTTTCCAATACTCTCGGGAATCTCACGAAAATATTTATTTTTAATTGTAGATGCTTTTATTGTTTTCATATTATTTAATAAAAAAATCGTAGTCAGAATAAATGAAAGAATGATCTAATTAAAAAAAACTTCAAAACAAATTTCATGGTTATCTCTATTGAGTACATTGCTGTGGTTTGTTATGCTGCTATACATAAACAAAAATAAAATGGTTAGAACTATGACGAAAATGTTTATGTCATTCTTGGCAAAAAGCCACTGTTTATAAAGTTCAATGTGTTTTTTTTAATATGCGCATGTTGAGAAACAGAACCAGAGCGCATTTAATTTTTTCCCGAATATAATGAGTGTTATGAAAGTCAGATTTCGGAACATTCAATACAAACAAACCACGATTTCACTTAAAGAAAATTGATAAGATAAACATTAAACAGAGATGAAAGATTTCACTCATAATTTCTTATTCTCGTTATCACTTTATGTATATTCTTACGCTTCTTGTTTTGAAAATTTCTTGGACATAACATAATCCAATATAAACACTTGTTTTATGCGATGTAATCCTAGTTGAATCGCAATAGCTGAACAAAGTTGACATAATTGTTTTAACTAAACATAATTTTACTAATTGTCGGTTGTATTGTTTTTAAATTGACTTCCAAATACAATTAAATCGGAAAAAGTTTACAAAAATGTTGAATTCAAACGTTTCTATACCACTATTTTTCATAATTTTTTTATTGGCCGTAAACGGCCATAGTTACCATGACAAATATCGTCTTCAAGTACATTATTCAATTGAATCGGGATGGGGGAATGATCCAAATGGATTGATTTATGCTGGTGGATATTATCATCTATTTTATCAACATGATCCAAACGAGACTGTATTCATAGACCGAATTAGGTGGGGCCATGCTCGATCAAAAGACTTAATTCATTGGGAGACTATGCCAATTGCCATTGATATGTACAATGATAACTCAATTTACAGTGGATGCTGCATTAGTGATACGAATAATGTTACCGGATTTGCAAAAAATCAAACAGAACCACCACTCATTGCAATATATACGCTCAACAAATCAAACGAGAAAATAAGTCAAAGACAAGCAATTTCATACTCTTTGGACGATGGAATGACATGGACACAATATGTTAATAATCCAATCATTCCAAATCCGGGAGTGGCCGATTTTCGTGATCCAAACGTTTTTCACCGTGATGGAAAGTTTTACATGACTTTAACCGTTGGTGATCGAATTCGATTTTTCTCTAGCGTCGATCTTAAAATATGGCATTTCGAATCGGACTTTGGAGTAAATCCTGACGCAGGTGATAAATCGGGTGTTTGGGAATGTCCATCAATAATTACATTGAAAGATGAACAAGGCTACGTACATGACATTTTGATTGTTTCGGAAAATGGACTATCAAGCGGCAGTATGACACAATATTTCGTTGGAAAATTTAATGGAACTCATTTTATTAATTATAATCAATCAAAATTACTGTGGTTTGATGATGGCTTTGACAATTACGCAACTATATCATTTAACAATAATCCGTTTGATGACACTATTATGATTGGTTGGATGTCGAACTGGTTGTATGCAAATAATACGCCAACGTCAACATGGCGTGGCCAGTATACAATTCCACGTAAAGTGACACTTAAGACTGTCGATGAAAAACTTTATCTCGCTCAACGTCCGATTGACGAACTAAATAACATAATTGATTCATCGAAATGTTGGTCATTGTCACAACCAACGAAACTAAGCGGCTATCAAATACTTGATTTAACCGAACGAATTCCATTTGAACTGGGACCAGCTTACACACTTGAATTTGAATACGATATTGAACATGTCACGATGGGCGAATTAGGCATAAAATTCAGCAATAGTTTTGACGAATTCATATCGTATAGTTTCGATTTAAAAAACAAGACGTTTGAATTTGATCGTAGAAAATCTGGGAATGTTTCATTTAGTCCACGTTTTGCCAATACGACCGTTTTTAAACGTATCAGCAACAGCAATATATTATCTGCAAAGCTCATCTTGGATACAACATCAATTGAAAAATTTATCGACGATGGTTTGAATACATTCACTGCAATATTCTTTCCAACTGAACCATACAATAAAATTCAATTATTTGCTGCTTTTGAAAATGCACGAGAATCAGCGATCATTTCAACGTTAAGCGTATCAAAATTGAAGAGTATTTGGTCAGAGTCATAGTTTAAATCACATTCAGTGTTCTACAAAACCATTTTATCCTTGAGTCATTTTCTATATAAATCCAAAGATAATAACGATAGCAAATAATATTTTGGCACGATTTTAGCATATAATGATTAATGTAGACACAGTCAAAGTTTTTATCGTATCAAAAGTCAAAACAATTGTTTTTTTGAAAATTTAAAATAAATTTGAACTATGATAAGAAGTATTGAATACTGATATTCGGTTGGTTATGCCGTTTAGATTAATCAAATAATTGCCAATCTCTCATTAAAAATGTTGAAATGAATATTTTTAAATTGTTTATAATAAGCACTTTTGTAGATACTTTTATAGAAGAATAAATTCAAATGAAAAATATACTTGTTCTTTTTCTTTAATAAATGGACACAATTATATTTAAATGGAAGTCTTTTAAGTATATATTGTATAAAATAGCACGGAATAACGGCGACATAGTGCACGTATCGTTCGAGATTCATATGTCTATGACATTGGATTCATATCAGCGCAACACTTATGTTAGAATTTGAATGTGAAATTGGAAACATCACGAATCATCTTACGAATGGTTTTTAACGTTAACCTTGTCAACCGACAAACTGTTGGTGAATTGGTTTCGACTGAAAATGCTCCAGTAATAGAATTCATGAATGGATTATGATAACCTTTTCAAAATTGTATGGCATGTTTTTGACTATAACAGTTGAAGCAGATACGTTCAACTAATTATAAAAGCGTTGAACTTATTTTCGATGTATATGTTGTGTAATATAGCCACACAGAATCGAAGAATATAGTATAAAATAGAATAAAATGTTGATTGTACGTTCATGTATGTGTACATGTGCTAAGCAGTGCCATTGGACAGATGCTGTGGACATGTGCGAAGCAAACGTAAAAAATGGTCTGATTGTATGGGTGATCATCAAAATGATGACAATTCAGTTTTCATTTATTTCTTTGAAAAGAAGAAATGTGGCAATTGGTTCAAATTTTACTAAATGAACGTGTGTATTTGAAAGTTGAAAAGAAATTTATAAAAGTGAAATTGACTGTGAATGTTTTGACATTGACATTATCGGAGACGTGTTTATGTATTTGAACATTAACAATTTGACTACTTTGAAACGTTTTGCGTTTTATGTTTACTGATACACACGTGTATGATGTCAGAGAACTCACAAAATAGTGTGACAGTTCTCCTCTTATCTTCGAAACAAGCAATACGCACGAGTTTGATTTATTTTTTTATGACTCTATTTTGAAGAAATGCGGAACACTCAAGTTGTGTAAAAAAAAACTCACGTCAAAAGGAAATGAATTGAATATAAAGAGATTTTTTGAGTGCATATTACTCATTGTTATACGGTGTTATACGAAGATAAAATTAAAAATGGATAGTTGTGCTGTAAAAAGTATCGGAGAGAGTATGTAGAAATAAAGAGATTGTGACTATTTAAGCAAATATTTTTTACATCCATTTTTGTGTTTATTAAAAGATGTTAAATTTCGTAATGAGTTTTGTTGTGAATTTTTCATTTTTGTGTCGATAGCTAAATTTAAAAATTAAATTTTATTTCGATATTTCGCTTCTTCATTCAGTTTTCTTCATCATTTTATTCAATTCGTTCCACCTCTTCTTCGTCGCTTAGTTCAATCGAAAAATTTACATGTTCGTTTGTCGCTTCCGCTTGAAATTCTTCATTTGTGTGCATGTCCCAGTTGATATGACTACATGATATATCGATTTTTTTTATTATGCTGAACTATTTGAAGATTCTCAGATATCGCATTGTCAAATTCGGCATGAATTTCGTAAGGCGTATGAACGTTTTCAATGAGAAATGGTTGTCTTACATAAAATTAATCGGTATGTGCGTGTTTATCGCGCAGTTTTATCTATTTTAAATTTAAATTACTCATATCAAGTTCTTCTACGTATCGTGTAATATACCATATGGTTCCAAACAAAATGTATTTCAAATGTATTTTATTTTTTTAGGTAAAAAGCCAAGCTACAAGGAGAAGTATCGTCTTCAGGTGCATTTTTCAGTGCCATCAGGTTGGATGAATGATCCAAATGGTTTGGTATATGCTGGTGATTATTATCACTTATTTTATCAATATAATCCAAAAAGTACAACGTTCGGATCACCGCATTGGGGCCATGCTCGTTCAAAAGATCTGATACATTGGGAGAATTTGCCGATTGCTTTGAAACCAATAGACTTACCCGAAGGAGTTGGTGATATATTCAGCGGATGCTGTGTGAGTGACAAAAACAACGTTGCCGGATTCACACCAAAATCAATGACAGACACAAATGCTCTCATTGCAGTTTACACAATCAATTCCAATGTATCTCAAACACAAGCAATATCATACTCACTTGACAATGGTATCACATGGACGGCATATAAAAATAATCCGGTCATTCAAAATCCAGGTGTGGCGGATTTTCGTGATCCAAACATTATCGAACGAGATGGAAAGTTTTACATGACATTGGCTGTTCATGATCGCATTTCATTTTACTCAAGTAAAGATTTGAAAGAATGGCGTTGGCTCAGTGATTTTGGCATAAAACCAAATGAAGGCGATAAATCCGGTGTATGGGAATGTCCATCGCTATTTTCAATCAATGATGAACAAGGCAACGTGCATGACATTTTAATTGTTTCGGAAAATGGGCCATCGCGCGGAAGTCTTTTACAATATTTTATCGGTAAATTTGATGGGAATAAATTCAATAGCTACGACAAATCAAAATTACTATGGCTTGAAAATGGTTTTGACAATTATGCGGCAATACCTTATCACAATGATCCACTCAAGAGGCTGATTATAATTGGATGGTTATCCAACTGGTTGTATACACAAGGGATACCGACATCAACGTGGCGTGGTCAAATGACCATTCCACGTGAACTATCACTTAAGCATATCAATGGAAATTTATATCTCGCTCAGCGTCCTGTTGATGAATTGAAGAATATAAAAGACTCATCGAAAAGCTGGTCGTTATCGAAAAATTTGGATATAAAGAACAACCAAACTTTTGACATAACATCAATTATTCCATTAAAAATCGGTTCAGTGTTAAGTTTAGAATATGTATTCGATATTGGAAATGTTACGAATGGTAAGGTCGGGCTGAAATTTGGTAATAGCCTCGGTGAATTTGTAACATTTTTGTATAATATTGAGAAAAATGAGTACGAATTTGATCGCCGGAACTCTGGTAATGTTTCGTTTGATATAAGATTTGCCGATATCGTGCCCACCGCCACACGAATTTCCAACGATAGTTTACTTTCTGGACAAATTATTTTGGACACAGCATCAATTGAAATTTTTGCCGACGATGGTTTGAATACATTCAGCGCATTATTTTTCCCAACCGAACCATTTGAACATATTCAAGTGACCAATGGCATTGAGGATTATGGAAAATCAATGACCATTCAAAAGCTGAACGTTTCAGCTCTAAATAGCATATGGAAACATTAGTTTATTCAATTGTATAATTTCGAATATATTTTTAAATAAAAATCAGTATTTTTTGAAAACCTTTGACAGTTATTCTTTTTTGCTAAGAGGCAATACTGTTTTTTTTTAAATTTCTTTGGGCTCTTCAATAGAACTCTTTAATATACTCTATTGGTAACGATAGAGTTCTCACTTATTCCTAGCAACAGAATTGATTATATTTGACAATTAACAGTTAAAGCTAGAGTTAAAGCGATATGTGAAGCCGACACTATTCTTATAACGTGACTCGCAATGTATCGCATCGAAATGTTCGTAGAATGAATAACACAACAATCCAATCGATTGAGATATTCTATAAGAGTTAAGCTTCTTTGATGAATTATTAATTCTCACATTCTTATAAGTTGTATAACATTTATCTTTATTAAAATAACTATTCGTTTTGATCCGTAAGTTTTGCATGACATTGGCACCATCTAATGATTTATAGCTTTAATTACAGTACTTCTTGAAAAAAAAAATAGAGAAGAAAATGAGGCCAACGCATGAAAGAGGATAAGCAAGTGCCTAAAAAGTGATCTCATATTTATCAAGTATGTGCACAGGCAATAAATAATACCGATCATTATTTAAGAGCTGATAACAAGTTAGCGAAAGCCAATCAGTCTCTTTGTTTTCCAACGTGGGTCACAGCAATAAATAAAACTTCAATATCTTTACTATTCAACTGTCACACAATTACAGACAAACATTTTATTTTGTGCAATTTATTATACAATTGAGTACAGCTCCTTTAAAACTTTTGCGGGTAAGATGTTCGCTATAAAGAGGTTAACGCATAACATTTCAATTCCTTGTTAATCAATAGTTTTAAAATTGAAATAACACTAAATCTCTTCAATATTTTCAATAATCAAATTGCTGTCGTGAGCATATCTCCTTTTCATCGTTCTTGCCAGCACGAAAATGTATTTTCGTTGTAAAAGTAACATTAAAGTAAGCATTGTTCAACAAAACCAATTCCGACTCGAAGATAAAGTGAATTTCATTGGAAAACTTGCACGCTTGAATTGAAGTTTGAAAGTGAATTTCGGTTTCATGCTTCAAATGATGTTAATCACATTGTTGGCATCGATTCATCGGTTTTCCAATCGTGAAAATATGTGTAAGATTTTGCATTTGTTTGAAAATCAATTTGACATTTGAATGAAGCAATCGGATAAGGGTTTTCGAAGCGAATTTGTCATGAGCACAATACACAAGACACAATCAATTGGTTGCACAGGACATATTGAGTACTTTGCAAATGTCTTCAATATGAGCTGCGAAGCATTGTTGAACGAAGATAAATGAATGGCATTGCTCAGAGAATATATGCAATGCTATCATTGCCATTCATTACCATAAATCAATGGAAAATTGAATGCAAATTTTATGTTCGTTTTAAATTTCTGAAGACATTAAGAGCGATAACATTGACCCGACGAATCGGTGAATATTCATCGTAAATTTTGAACAATTCTTCATTTTGAGCAATTGAATTATTGAACGACAGTTGTAAACAATTCAGAGGCAGTTCATTGACTCGTGAATTGAGTTCAGTGACCAATTGAGATAATAAGGTCGTATTTGATGATGATAATATATACAAATTAGTTCCATTTGAATTAATGAACAAATTAACTTTTGTACCTCATTAAATGCTGAGTAGCAAAAGCAAATAAATTATTTGTCAGAAATAAACATCTATCAAGCATTTAAGAAGCATTTTTTTCACGCATTTATTTGAAAGTGGGTTCCAGTATGAATTATTTCATAAGGGTTTTTACAGTCAAAAAAGTGGCAGAAAAAATGGCAAATTCAAACATTTGCAAAGCATATTCAAATTAGCCACGACTTTTCAATAAATGCTCTCTTCTTTCAACGGTCTTTTTTGGATGTGTTCCAAATGAATACAATATGATGGAGAGTACAGTTTTGTGGTTCAAGCTCTTGTGGTGGCACCAGGGCGCACGAGGACCAGAACAAAGAAAAGAAATTAAAGAAGCGTCAACAAACGTAATTGAGTTTCGGTGGTGTTTCATCTTATGGGTTGAATAACTATTATTCATTCAAAAAAACATTAGCAAGTTTGTTGGCAGCTTCGGTTTATTCGTTTCGTCTTCTCTCATTCTACCATTTTTTCATTTATTTTTCAACTCTTTAAGTACGCGATGAAAGAATGAAAATTATTATGTTAAACAACTTTTTTTTTCTGTTCTACCGCAATGCTCTCATATTAAATTGAATTTTTATCGGGGTGATGTACAAAAACCGGAAGGAAAAATAATTGAATGGAGAAATTGCGAACCTGTTTCGAGTTCGTCGTATTTTTTTTTCATCGTTACTAAATTGAGTGGCACATATTAAGTGCTTGTTGAAGATATTTTCATTCGAAGTTTTTGTGACGGTAACAGCCACGTTCAGCGCAAGAAAACGAGTATTTATCGTAAAATGAATGTAGACAAAAATGGTTATGAAAATTGAATGTCTTGCGCAAATTCTCATTTTTACCAGTTTATGAATAGTTTCAATGGAAAAAAACGTTCCATTGAATTGATTTAAGGATGATTAGAAAACTAACCGTTCGTTTTACGTAGTTTATCGCAGTCTCGTATGATGTCACGTCATAAAGAATCTCATTTTTTGGCAGATTTGATCATTAAATTCTGCTGGGCATTTAAAAAAGCAATCAACGGTATAATGAATGAACAAAAAGAGATATCAAGAACAATCTACTGCAGAGATTTTATTGCGGATGACCTTGCAGAAAAGTCGGTGATGATGATGGGCATTTTCGACGTGAGCATACATTGTGCGCACATAATTTGATTCTTGCCACAGACATTTTGATGTTAAGCACTTGATGCGTCCTATTTATTTCGCCAAAAGTTACACTTGAATCGTTAAACAATGCAGCAGTTTATACACCTTTCAAACGTTTATTTTTATTTCTTGCAAGATGGTAAAATATTTAAATGGAAAATTATTCAAAATTGTGGTCCAATTTCGCTTTAAAGCCTTTAAATTTCGCTATTTCACGTGATGGCATGTCCTTTTCATCAAATTTAATGCCAGTTCCTCTTTGCTCCATTTTCAAATAGACTGGAAGATATTTTCAATAAATAAGACTTGAAAACTTTGAACCACACATCGCTCGGAATATGTTCTCCAGATATTCTAATGAATTTCAAATGAGGTAATAAATATTTCACACCATGTGTGCCAATACTGTCACAAACATTCCGGAAATAATTGGAAAACTTTCGTAAGTTCAGCAAACTTTGTGAGAGGAAATGCATTAACCCGACTTTGTGATGAATATTAAAGCACATCAAAGTGTTTAGCTAATCTGTGTCGTTTATCTAGAAAATTGAAGAAAACAATTATATTCAGAACATCAAATGAGAAGTGAAAAGGTTTACACTCCCGAGATTAATTGAAATAATGACTGTTTTTTTCTATGCTATTTGTGCACATAAAAATGCACCGAAAATGCCGTCGTAATGAATCAGTTTGAAGTTGCTCCAAACAATTTGTCATTGGTGTCAACAACTTCTCGAAAGTACACATCAAAAAAATGGAAGCATTATTCTTTTCAGCACAAATTGTAAATGCTGTTTACAGTGACATATCTCATTAACACATCGTTGAAGTGTTGTAAAAAGTTGAAAATTTGATTAATGACTCTGTGATAAATTACAGGATACAATAAATGCCAACAATAAAATATGCTACCATTGTTTAACCAGTATTTCTATTTGATGTTTATTTTGGAATTGCATTTCCAATCTTTAACATACTATATGCGCTGTCGAAAGATTTTAACACTTTTGAGTTGTACGAGAGAACTCGCGGTATCCTTATCGAATTCATTCACTTCTTTAGAACTTACGTTTTGTATGAACTATCAAATTTTTTATGTTTCGGCAATCAAAAATGTGTTTATTGGGCTACCGCCGTGTCAATAATTTAGCTCTGCACCGGCCTAACTTATTCATTATGTTTATTTAGCTGTTGGCCCGTTAAGCCGAAAGCTCAGAAAGGTTAATCACCCCACCCAAATATCGATTAACATTTCCGTATTGAATGTATTCCAAAATTTTTGTTAGCAGGGGATACCATAAAATCATATAAAGTGCACATGTTGTTTTGCAGTCATGACGAACACAATTCGCATGAGAGCGATAACAACTTACGAACAGAATCACATACAATTTACATAAAATATACACAGTTGTTCCACTTTTACATTTCATGCATATAAACAACAGAATTTACCATAATAAAACAGTAGATGATGAGAGGTGACCACATGCATTTCCTATTTGCCTTTAAATTAAATGTATATAAATTATAATTCGTCAAGTCCAATTTGCATATGTCGATACATTATTTTAAAACCAGATGATCATATATATCGAACGGCGACCACGGCGACATTTTGGTAAACGCCAACTTAATTTAAATCAAATCAACGAAGTATTAAATCCAAAAGCTTTTAACAAAACAAAAAACGATAGAACATGAACCACAAAAAGCCTTCGTTTTTATATTTTCAATGCATCATGTGTAGCTATTGCATCATTTTACAAAAGAACATGTATTGTGAATTCCAGAGATGAAATCGAATTTGTGAATTATTGCAACTGAATAGAGCGTAATGTACTTGTTTGAATGACTAATACAAACAACTTTAATCACACCAACACATTCATAGCTATGTATGGTTCCCAGCAAGAGCGCATTTCGGAAGTGACTATTTCATGCTTTGATGAAAGCTAGCAACTTTTCTCACTTTTTCTATGCAACATTTCCGTGTATATGGCGTTAAATTCACAGGTATCACAATTGCATTTACGAGATTATAAACTGTGACCGTAAATGTAACATCATGAAATGAAAAGGTGTTTGATTAAGATTGGATTTTGTAATTGTACAGCTTTTCAATAAGTTACATGAGCCATAAAAATGCCATGAAATTAATCAGAAATACGGCGTACAACCATTGCTATTAATCACAATGTTGTACATGTGT